CACGCGGGACGATGAAGCTCTGGAATTATAAGTACCGGCCGTGTACGAAATGAGAAGGATAAAATTGACTGCCGGGTGCTTCAGTATTGTGACACCGCACGCATAATTGCTCCCTTCGTTGGGGACATTGCTGTTCTGCGATATTTCCCATAAAGGATTTTTGTATCGGCTGAGCCTGATTTATTAGCAACTGATTGTCAGTGTTTGATCTATAAAAGGGTAGAGAATATAGCCAAAGTAAGCTGAGCTTTCGCCTGTTCAGAGCAGTCTTAATGCGTGTCGTGTCTCCCTTTCTCACAGTTTGCGCGTGAAAAAGAGGCATTATGCGCCTTGGGACTGGTTTTATGCGGACAAGCTAAAGATGGTTCGCATTCAGACGTTCCCTCTACAACGGAAACAATTTACTGGAGACTGCCTTGCAGTCGAAAACAGATTGTTGTGGAGGGACGAGGGCACTCAGCTGTGCATCCGCAAATGCGCCCATTTTACAACTGAAACAAGCAATCGGCTTGTTGATGCGCTTGATGCAGCGCCTTGGGGCATGCGCGATTAGTTTAAATTCGTGTTTTTTGTTGGCGCTTTAAGCTCTCTCTTCACAGCTTTAAAGATTTTATATGCGCATCTTGACAGATTTAGTACTGGCCTCTGTTCTTAAAGCTATGGTTCCAAGGCAGCAGGCTCCTGTTTTAAAATTTTGGAACTGAAATGCCGCAAAATATTTGCAGTTGTTAAAGCATCAGAGAATAAGAAGAAAAACGCAAAAGCACGTCAGACACTTTCGCTTCTCATTGTGTCTTTCTTCCCTTCCACTCCTCTGTGTTGGCCACTTTGGAGTAAAACATGGAAAAATCCGTGGCTTAAATGTCCTCTCGATATTTTGCTGTGTCGATCTAGGAATGGTACTGCTGACGTTTTTCAGAAGCATTTAGAATTAGCTTGCTTGCTGTTTGAAGGGGACGCGGAGTTACTTCAGGGCTCTTTGCACGATCTTCCTGCCATTTGATTTTCCTAGTTCTTGTTGATTTTTCAAATGAAATTAACAAATACAGGAATGTATATGCCGTCAAAATCCTTCATTCAGAACACAGAGCATCAGTATTTTTTTTCAGAAAACTCTAGGAAGGGAAGTTAGGGTGGGTATGTTTCACAAGCTTCTCGTGCAGGGATTTCGTTGCGAAGCTTCACTTCTCGTGAAGAGTAGTATATAGAGCAATAGAGCAAATTTTAGAGCTAATTTTACAATAGCAGAAATGCATGAAACGCGGAAAAAATGTGATTAATTTTTTAAGGGAGATAGAAATCTTGCTGATTTCTCCGGGTTTTGTAGAAGTGGAAGATGGTGCCGAGGATAGGGGTAGGTGGGAGAGGTGGGGAAAAAGTGCAGTGATGTTTTGAAGAATAAATCTGAGTGAAATGGGGAAAGAATACCAATGCTACTGGAATGAGGAAATACAGAAAAGCATGTTTTGCTTAAATGGATTTTATACACTTTGTTGTCCATGTTTGCCCGTCAGCTTTCATGAGGAGCGATTGCACAGCGCTCCTGCCCGTCCAGTTGGGCTTCCCAGCCAGGAAGTTCATCACCGCGTTCGCGTCATCTGTCGCCCTTTCC